CCCGCTGCCGTGTGCGGCCCCGCTGAGCCTCGCCCACGCGGAGGACGGCCTGCCCGGCCCGGCCGACGTGGCCTACGGCAGGCTACCCAGTTCCTGGAGGCGCTGCTGCGCAGCGGCGCGGTGCAGGGCCAGGACGACGTGGACCCGCACTTTCCCCGGGGCCTGGACGGGAGGCCGGACGGCTCGGGGGTCGCCGCGGGTGCGGTGATGGACGTGCAGACCGACTGGTACGGCGAGGACTCAGGTGAGTGCGGTCATCAGGCGCGGGCCGATCTGTGCCTCCTGCTCTCTCCTCATCGGTCATCGCGGCCGCTGTCACTGTCACTAGCATCCTCCCACCGCTGGCAGCACAGCCAGCCTGCATGAACCGAGCTGCAGCAGGCGGGCGCACGCCTGTCTCAGTCTCACCTCCTCTGGAGGAGAGCAGCTGCAGACCCGGAACGAGCCCCCCTCCCACTCGCAGCAGTGGGACTCGGTTCATCGCCGGCAGCTTTGAGCCTGCTTTTCGCTTATACAGTGGGGGTAACCACCCCTGCCCGGTCCTCCTTCCAGGGGTGTTGTGAGGACCAAATGAGAACGTTCTCAGAATTTTTCTTCTTTTAGGTTTTTGCCATAGGGCCCGTGCATTTACTAGGGAGAGACAGAGAGGGAAAGTGAGAAATCACGCGTAGGGATGGCCTGGCCGCAGTCCTCTCCTCGGAGTTTGGGCACACGCGCACTCCCAGCGTAGTTCTTAAGAGGCCAGGTTTGCCGCTGGAAATGCGCGGTTGGCGGCGGGATCCAGTCACCTTCCCCTCCGCCTCCTGGCCCCATCTTAGCCCTTCTTGAACAAGTTCGTTTGTAAACTGCTGACATCTTTGGAATAATGTCACTATTAACTTACCTTTTATTTTATTCTTAAGTTTATTTTCTTCTTAAGAGAGAGGAGGGAACCCCCATGGAGTCCCCATGCCATGGTCCACCCAGTTTCAGCCAGTCCAGACCACAGGCACCAGCGGGCACCTCGAGGGCTCAGGGAGGTCCCAGAACCTTCCCACACGGGTCCAGTTCACTTGCACTGCCCACTGCCTGCCCCTGTCCACTTTCTATGAAGTACCAATGAGTTCACCATTCTACCCAAGCTTCGCTATAAATTCGACGTTTGTTCTTGCTTCCATTTGAGCAGAACTCGTGTTCTGATGGGGCTGCTTTCAAACTGATGTCTTGGTGGTCGTCATCTTCTGTTTTGTTCATTTGTTTCCCTTCACTCGTGATAGGACAGCCACGTGAGAATGTGAGAGTGGCCAAGACGTGGGCACCCTCCAGGGTCTGCTCAGGCCGCAGTCCTCCTCTTCCAGTCCTGTTGGGTCTTGGGCATCCACACGTGTGTGCAGGAATGGTTCCGGCTGACCAAGCCGGGGATTTGAACCATGGCTGCCGTGTGGGGTAGCTTCTCTTGAATAGGGCTTTACCACGGCACCGTGGAGCTGGCCCAGTGTTTCGTCCTTAGTGCCTGAAACTAGACCCTGCTCAGTCATGGTATAACAAGTTAGTATGACTTAACGCAAAAAAAAAAAACCCAGAAAGTCATGCATAATTTTTTCAAAATTTCAACATTTTCCTGATTTTTTGAAAACCCCTTAGTGTGGTGTTCTGGGGAGAAATCAGAGCTGAGATAGAAATTGGGGAGTCATTGGGACCAGCAGGTGGCATGGTGGTTAAGGGGCTGGGCATTCCCACATGGCCGACCACATTTCAAGTCCTAGACCTAGTGGCCGATGCTGGGCCCGCTTGACCGTGTGCTTTGTAGGGAGTCACTGCAGGGAGCGAGCAGGGGAGCTGGCTGCCGCCTCTCTCCTGGCACGCAGGTTTGAGTCACTGTAGGAACGAGGCAGGAGAGGTGTGATCAGGCTGGGACCGGAAACCAACAGGAGCGACCACCCTTACCTGGGAGGACACTGGAGTCTCACCTGGGGTTCAGCGTGCCATGTTTTGGTAGCCCTCAGGGACAACACAGGCACACTTAGGTGTCCCCTGAGACTGGGAGGCAAGAGTCTTGACTACTTAATTGGCAAGAAGCCCTGAGGGCATGCTGAGGACAGAGACTGACAGAAGCCGACCCTGACCAGTGCTTCCTCTGGGCGAGTGTCACACTGCGGGTGATATTCCGTCTCCCTCTTACCGCAGTCCCACGGCACGGGAACTGTCACCACCCGTTTCAGAGGAGGAGAGGCTGCCACAGAGCAGTTCAGTATGACTGGCGAGGTCACACAGCTGGTCAGCAGTGGAGCCAGGACTTGAACTCGGGTTTCAAGCCTGGGAAGCTTGAGTCACTAGTGCCTTCATATATGATGGGACATGGCCGAAGTCCGTAATCCCGAGGGAACAGGGCTGGGAACGGCAGAGGGAGGGTGACTCAGAAAGCGTGAGAACCGAGTCACCGTGCATGGTGAAGTCCACGTTATCGCCCCAACAGGACGTGACATAGTGGGAAGAGGGTTGGAGAAGATTTAAGTGAGTTCCCGGCTATTTGATGACTCCTGGATATATAATAGGAATTCTGAACAATTTAAGGCCTGCCTCAGCAAACCTCTTCTACACGTGCCCTTAGGAGCTACTGTCCAGGGAGCATGAGTTTTAGTTTATCAGACTTTTAACAGTAACGTAGTCAAGTGAGGGGGTTGTATCTGTCAGCTCTGGCCGTCCTCAAGGTGCTGGGGGCCGCCAGTCCTGAGGCAGGCGTCGCGGGGCTGGCTTCCAGGAGGCCTCTCCTCCTGGTTTGTAGACGGCCCTTCCCAGAGTCCTCGTGGAGCCTCTCCTGTGTGCTGGGGCGGGGGCTGTGGAAGGAGAGCCGTCACCCCCAGTGCCTCTTCTCCGTAGGAGACCAGACCTATCACTAGGCCCCATCCTCTGACTTGTTTAACCTTAATGACCTCGTCGAAGGCTTTACTCCCAGATACAGCTACAGCGAGGGCTAGGGCATCAGTGCGAGCTCTGTGGACACAGCTTTGTCTGCAGCGGGTCTCACTCGGCCTCAGCACGTTTCGTTTTGTTTTGTTTTGAGAGAGGTTTTTGCTATAGGCATATGCATTTGATAGAGAGATAGAAAGCAAGAAATCACCCCACGGGGGAGATGGCCATGCTACAATCCCTTCTCCATTCTCTTCTTGGGATCTTGGGCACACCCGCGCGCGTGGAGTGAGTTTTAAGCCACCGGGTCCGGGACTCAAACTGCAGTTGACTACGTGGGAGTCCAGCGATGTAACCATTACAGCATCTGCTGGTCCTATTAACATGGTCTTAAAATGAAATAGAACACAGTGTTGGCGGAGTGTGGTTTCGGGCAGCTTTGGCAGTGGTCCATATGGGGCAAGTGTCTCCTGAGGTTCTCCCGATGGCCCCGTCCACGCGGAGAGAGTCTGCCCATGTTCCTTGCCGCAGTGGAGCGGGGCCGCGTTAACCTCGGCTTTGGGAGCCAGACAGACCCGGACTGCAGACAGAGTCCGGCTGTTGGCTGGCGGCGTAGTGGGCGCCCCCGCTCCGTCTGGGCTGCAGGAACTCCCCAGCTCCGGATCCCGTCCACCAGAGGTGGCTGGGGTTGTGGCTGGCCGGCACGTGTCTGGTTCCCCAGGTGATGTGCTGGTGGTCCCCATCAAGCTGCACAAGTGTCCCTTCTGCCCCTACACCGCCAAGCAGAAAGGCATCCTGAAACGGCACATCCGCTCCCACACGGGTGAGCGGCCCTACCCGTGCGAGACCTGCGGCAAGAGGTTCACGCGACAGGAGCACCTGCGGAGCCACGCCCTGAGCGTAAGTGGCCCACTGGCTTGTCCTTGCGGCGCTCCGGGCGGTTCGTGATGTCATCTGCTGTGAGGTTAACGCAGCGTCCTCTGTTCAGACAATTGTGAGTGTGTTTGCACGGCTAAACTGAAGCGGGGCTGGTGGCACTTAGAGAAAGTGAAATCTTACAAGCGCTAGGGACGCAGCAACGAGTGGGACAGACCCCAGCCCTGCCCTCTTAGAGCTTCATCTGGTGAACTTTTTTATTCTGGAGAGGTTTCTGCTATAGGGCATGTGCGCTTGTCAGAAAGACAGAGAGAGACAGAGAGGCAGAAAGTGAGAAATCCCCCCCGGGGGGGTGACCACACCACAATCCCGTCTCCTCCCTTCTCTCGGGATCTTGGGCAGGCACGCACACATGTCCAGTGTGAGTTTAAGCAACTTGGTCCAGGACTCAAACCGCAGTCGACTACATGGGAGCCCAGCAACATGGCCATTACACCAACTGCTGGGCTCCATCTGGCGAACTTTTAAAATTTTGCCAGATGCCTTGTGCCATCTGGAGAGAAGGAGGGAGAGAGCGAAGTGAGGGTGATCATGTCGCAGTCCCCTCTCCTCCACTTCTCCCGCCTTTTAGGATTTGGGGCACACAAGCACGTGCACCCGGCATGTTTCTCAAGCTGCTGGGTCCAGGACTCGGACTACACAGCCAGCCATGTGGGATCCAGCCACCTTAGCCACCACACCACACGCCGGTCCCCGGGCTAGTGAATTTTGACATCAGTTGTCATTGAGGTGTGAGTATATGGCTGGGACTCACCTGGCCCTGAGCACCAGGGAAGACGTCCTTCCAGGGAGCTAGTAAGGGATGAGGGTTGGTGAGGGGAGATGGGTATTCCATACCCAGTGGCCCTGGGGTGGAAGAAACCTTGTGAGATGAGACCATGGCAGAGAAGGCGAGGGGCAGAGTGGTGAGAAATGGGGCTGGAGGACCAGGCAGGGGCCAGGTCACCATGGCTCGAGCCTTCTCTGTGACGTGTGCTGTGTCTCCCTCTGGCCACAGGTCCACAGATCCAACCGCCCGATCATCTGCAAGGGCTGCAGGAGAACCTTCACAAGTCACCTGTCTCAGGGGCTGCGGCGCTTTGGGTTATGTGACAGCTGCACCTGCGTCACGGACACACACGACGATGACGATTTGATGCCCATCAATCTTAGTCTGGTGGAGGCTTCATCGGAGAGCCAAGAAAAGAGTGACACGGACAATGACTGGCCCATCTATGTGGAGTCCGGTGAGGAGAACGACCCTGCTGGAGAGGATTCCGACGACAGGTCGCAAGTTCAGCCTGACTTACCAGAGCGGGAGACGCTCATGCAGCGATGAATCGGTGGGGAAGAAGCTCCAGAATTTGCTTGTTCTGTGGTTGAAAGCCAGCCTTCGTCTAATTTTGTGGAACCCTGTATTTGCTGTTAAAATACTTGCATCTTTTTGTTAGGCTCCGTTGGATTTTGTGACAGAGGACTCATAGCTTGTTGGTGTGGCACCCTTGGGATCGGAGGGCCCTGCGGGCCACTTCTTAACTCTGTGTTTTGGTTTTTAAGACAGAGTCTCGCTGTGTTGTGACCCTCTTAGCTGGGCCACAGGAGCACCCCATTGTGCCCCGCTGTTTTTCAGACGAGGTCTTGCTGTGTTGACCAGGCCAAGCTCACAGCCTCCTGCCTCGGCCTCCTCCAGCACTGTGCCAGCCTTTACGGCAGGCGGGGAGCAAGCCCGGGCCTCCGTGGGCCCAGTCGGCAGAGTCTCAGCAGCTCGCCTGACGCTGGGCCTGGGCCTCTCCATGCTGAGCGAAGCCGGGCCGGCTCTGTCCCAAGCTAAGGCAATCTCCGTGTTTGTTCTCATATTGTCTCGACCCTCTGTGTTCCTTTGTCGTCATCCTCGTTCTCTGAAAAAGTGGGCGAGAGTACATTAAGTTTCGGGGTCCCGCTCACCTTTGCCAAGCCTTTCCTAGTGAATTCCGCATTTTAATTTTCTGGCAGAGTAATAGCGAGGAAGCTCCAGCAACATTACGCACGCAGGGCTGTCTGGCTACACGGCACCAAGCAGAGAGGGAGGCACACAGCCCGTCCCGATTCCGGGCCTTTCCCGGCCATTCCTGAGAGCCATTGCCGTGTGACCTGGAAGCGGAGCCGCCTGACACTCACTCCACTGGCCTGAGAGCGTTAATTGGAGGGAAGGCATAAACTCACACGAACAAGTTACCTCTAAATCATTCACCTGTGAAAGGGCCTCTCCGGGAAGGCGAGGGTTAGAACAGGGTTTACCAATCTTCCTGGCCCCTGCTTTGCCGCCATACAATTCATCTAACAAAAGAGGCTTAATTTTTTTTTTTTCAGGATTTTGCCATAGGGCTTTCCTGAGAGAGACAGAGACAGTGAGAGGGAAAGTGAGAAATCACCCCCCCCACCCCCTGGGGGAATGGCCACCATCTTTCTCCCCTGTCCTCCTCCTAGGATTCTGGACACACATTCACATGGCCCAGCGTGATTTTCTTCTTTTTGGAGGGGTTTTCGCTATAGGGTGCGTGCGCTCACCAGACAGAGAGGGACAGACAGAAAGCGAGAAATCACCCCCCGGGGGGATGGTCACACCACAATCCCCTCTCCTCCATTCTCCTCTCAGGATCTTGGGCACGCACGCACACGTGCCCGGCGTGAGTTTAAGCCCCTGGGTGTGGGACTCGAACCACAGTCGACTACATGGGAGTCCAGCGACTTGGTCATTATACCAACTGCTGGTCCCCCACCCAGCGTGATTCTCAACCCGCCAGGTCGAGGACTCTAACCTCAGGCAGCCACGTGGGAGTCCAGCGACATTACCGCTACACCGTCTGCTGGCCTCAAGGGTTAACTTTTTAAAAAGACTACAAGGCAAGAAATATTATAGGGATTGAGGATGTAATCCAAGGTGCTGTCCTCGGTTCATCTTATGTTAAAATATCCAAAATGGATTTTAAAGGAAATTCCCTCATCTGCCTTTACTTTTGGTATAGTTGAGCTTCAAAGTTTCACTTTTATTTCTGCTTCTTGGACAATAACAAAGAAAATCAAAAACATGAAAATGGCTGTAAACACTAATCACCGAAGGACTCTAGAACAGTGCTGCTCTGTGAATTTCCTGAGCCTGCTACAGGAAAGTCAGAAATTAAAAGTAAACTTCCGGAAGCTTTCATTACACTTCGACGTTGCCGTGACACCCAGCATGTGACCCGCGGCCTCCACTTCTTGAACAGGTGTGGCCAGTTTGGGGTGGTCACCTGGGAGCCACATGGCACCAAGGTCCAAGGAGTGGGACCTGGCACTGTCCTGCAGTAGACGGGAAATTTAAAAACTGGTCTTTCACCACGGGGCGTTGAAAAACATTGTTCAAGATCCAGGGTTACACATTGGAAGTGATTAGGGCCCAGAAATACCTAACAGGAACATCTTAGCTGTTACTTTAAAAGAGAGATCTTGGGGCCAGCAGATGGCATAACAGTTAACGTCGTGAGACTCCCACATAGTTGGCCACAGTTCAAGTCCTGGACCCAGCAGGTTAAAACTCACGCCGGGTGCATGTTATGTGCGTGCCCAAGGTCTCGAGAGGAGAATG